GGAGGTTCCCACATCCTGTTTTTTGGGAATGGTCTCACCTCCCGCCAAGAGTTTTGGGATGCACTGGCAGAGGGCTGGAATAAATTCCATGAATTCCAGCCTTAGGGATGAGGCAGGGAAGTGCCAAAGCCTCAATCCCGGGGCAGAGTTGAGTTTCCCCGAGGTCACAAATGTATTTATAATATATTTATATTTCTATCTGAAGGGCAGGGAAGTGTTTGGCTTCCTTGGAAAGCAGGGAACATGGAAAAATCAAGGATTACAAAGATCAGCTCCAGTCAAAAAATCCCAGCTCCAAACCAAGCCCGGGCCGGGATTCTCTTTTTTTCGGGGCTTCGTTTTGCTGAGATTTTTATTGATTCCTGCTTTTTGAGTGAGCAGCACCCCCAAATCCCTCCATTCCCAGCAGCCCACTGGGATTTAACAGCCCAGGGGCTGGAATTCCCATGTTATGGAGATGTCGGGATTTGGGACACAGAGCAGCAGTTTGGGAACAAACCTGGGAGTGGGATCATCCATAACTGAGGAGGAAGGAGCGAGGGACCCTTTGGAGATGCTGCTTCCATCTGCTCCTCGTGGTTTTCCTCCTGTTTGCAGCGATCCGGAGAAATTCCCGCTTGGAAGTGGCACGGAGCACCTGGCCCTGGATCACGGGGAGGGGGGGCTTTTCCAGGGGTTGTAACAAATCCCAAGCATCCATGTGAGCTTGGATAAAGTGTTCCAAGGTGCTGAAGTGTCTGGGGGTGAGCATTCCCCAAAAATCACCCCTTTTCCCAGTGGAAAACCCACCAGCAGGGATGGCTGGAGGAATTCCAGCTGTTTCCCAGCCCGGCAGTGCCTTGGGAAGGCAAGGAAACCTTGGAATTGGGTTTAAAAAGCTCTGCACGTGTGGAGGAGACCCCCAGGGATTGTCCCCACACCCCCATCCCAAGTGTCAGGCACCACTTGGAGCATCCCATGGGGTTGGGATGCTCTTTTCCCCCTTGGAAAAGGCTGGAGTTGGGATGCAGGAGATGCCCGGGATGAGCGGAGGGGTTGCAGATCCTCACAGGAGGAGGAGTGTGGGGACCTCCTGCAGATTCCCCAAAAAAAAGCAGCAAGGAGATGGGAAAGGGGGCTCCACTCTTTCTCGGGGAATCAGGAAAAATGCGGGAAAAGCCTTAAAAAAAGGAGGTCGGAGTGACCCAAAAATGCCACACGTCCTCCTGCGCCACCGGAATATCCGCAGCCCTGCGGCACTGGGGACACACCAGCCCATCCCAGAACATCCCCATCCCAAAAAACCACGGCCCAGCACGCGTGGAATACACGCACGCAGCCCTGCAAGGCTCAGCACGGTGCAGCAGTCCCAAAAAAACGCTGGAATTCCAAGCAGGGATCACCCAGATACCCCCCAAAAACCCCGGGGGGGGAGGAGATCAGAGCCCCAACACGGAGACGAGTCATAAACCAGCCAAATTCAGGCTTAAAACACTCGATTTTTATTATTTATTTGGCATATCCCAATCCCAGGAAGCCTGGAGCAAATTAGGGGGATGATGATCACTGCACCCCAACACTGGGATGGGGCAGGAGGGTGAAATTCCAGCCCCAAATCTCCCTGGAAAAGTGCCTTGGAATGGGGTCCCCCCCATGGAGGTAACAACCCCCCCCATCCCCCTCTGTCCTAATCCAGCTTTTCCCCTGCTTGGGGGAGTTCCAGGAGGTGCTGGAAAGCACAAAAATTAAATCCAACCGGTGCGAGGGGTTGGGAATCACATCCCTTTGGGAATGAAGGAAAAGGGGGCAATTCCAGGATCACCAAAATAATCTGCTCCGGGGCGAGACCCCGGCTTGGTGCTCCCCCCAAAAAATGGAATATCTAAATCAGAAAGGGGGGGGGGGGGAAAGGGTGATGGGCATCAAGGCATTAAGGGGGAAAATTGGGAATTCTCAGCCTTAAATCGCTGCCTTTGCTCTGCCAAGGCGGCGGGAAAAGGATTCTCGGGAAGGAGGCGATGGCGGGATCCTGGGGTGAGATCCCACAGGGAGTGTTCCCCCAAAACCCCACGGAGCCCCCCCAAAGCCAGCTCTGCTTCCAGAACCGGCCCCGCTGCAGGTGGGAAAAGGGGCAGTGACCCCACAGGGAGAGCGGAGCGAGATCCAGGGATGAGGAAACGGATGGATGCGGGGATGGAAAGTCCCCGGGATGGTTTGGGAAAGGCAGCAGCCCCAAACACCTTCTTCCTCCTCCCCAGACTCTTCTTCTTTAATCGTGAGGCAGCTGGGGGGGTTTTCCCAAATCGAAAGCACCACGAGAAAGGAATATCGGGAGGAAAAGTTGGGGAATAACCCACCAGGAAAATGCGATTCATCCCAAAAAAATTCCAGGAGAGGAGGCGAAGTCCTGCCAGCGGCTGCAGGGGCAGCAGGATGGGGTTTATTCCTTTAGAGCCAGATTTCCAAAGCTTCCCTGGATCTCAATAAAACCAGGAAAAGGGGGTGAATCCCCCCTCCCCAAGCCCCCCTGTTTGCCCAGCCCTGGGGCAAGTGATCCCTCTGCTTCCCGGCTCCCATCCCAAAATCCCAGTCCGACATCGAGCCGAGCTCTGGCTGCTCCAACCCCCTGAAAACAAGACACCAAACAGCCAAAAAAGGAGGAAGAAAGGGAGGGGGTGAGGTCTGGGGGGGGCGCAGGACAGGCAGGATCGGGGGGTTGTGGGGTCACAGGTAAACCCCCGAAATCCTGGGAAAAGCCCAGGAGTTTGATGGAAGGCGGCAGGAGGAAAAGCCGCAGCCACGGAGCCGGAGCAGCTCCCGGCTGAGGACCCGCCGAGGCTGAACCTGTGCGAAAACACAGGACGAAAACCACACATAGATTAAAAAAAAAAATAGTATAAAACCTTCCCAAAATACGCCGGACCAAGGGTCGCTTCGGAATTTTTTCCGGGAAAAAGCCGCGAGCGGAGCGGCCGCGCTCGGGATTTGCGGAAAAACGTCCTTCCAAACAGTCCCCAAAAAAACCCCAAAAAATCCCTAAAAATACCAGCACGAAAGGTTTTCTTTAGGGGAGGTGTGTGATGGTTTGTTAAGGGGTTGTTTGTGTGTTGTTGTGGGTTTTTTTTTTATCCTCCTTTCAATTAAAAACTCGAGAGAGAAAAGCCAAAAGAGGGAAGAAAAAAAAAAAAAAAATCACTTATTGCCGCTTCAAATCCAGCCGGCGGCTCGTCGGGACGAGCTGGGATCACACGCTGGATCCGGCGACTTTTTCCGCAGGGATAAAGGTCTCCGGGACTTTTCAGTCGGGAAATAAACCCCAAAACCACCCTGGAAAAGACTTTTTTTTTAAAAAAAAAAAAAAAAAAAAAAAGGTAGGAAAAGCGAAAAGCCGGAGGTCAACGGGATTTATCCCCGGGGAGGGTTTGGCATCCACACCGGGATTTAAAGGGAGGAATAAACGACCCCCCTCCCCACAACCCCCCCCCCCCCCCCCGAGATGAAGAGAAAACCCGACCCAGGCTCTAGTTGAATATAAGTTTTTTTTTTTATCTTGATGCAACATCGTTAAAACCGTCACGAATCGAAACAACAGGTCGGTAAAAACGCTTCGCACGATCAGTCCCTAAAATGCACCAGGGGCTCCCCAAAAAGCTCGCCGCGTGTCCGCAGGACCCTTTTTGGTTGACGCAACCACAAACCTACCCTACAAAACAAAAAATCAAGGGTTTGGTTTTTGTAGAGCCTTGTTTTAAATGAAGCAACTAGTTTAACGTAAAATAAAAAAAAACCCCAAACAAACAAACAACACAGCTCCTCGGTACCGCTTTCGCTCCGACGATTGCACGAATTCTTAATCCTCTTTTCCTTTTTTTTTTTTCCTTTTCCACACAGCAAATAATGTGCATTTTCTTTCCTTTTTTTTTTTTTTTTCTCCACCGAACATCGAGGTTAAAATAAGATCCCGTTTCTCCCGAGGGTTAATAAATAAATCTGGTGCATAGTGAGATAGCAGCCAACCGTTCGCAGTCCATATATTACTATATTGCCTTTCAGGTCACCCGAAAATTGTTGCCTCTCCCTTCCCTCCCTCCCTCCCTCCCCCTCCCCACTATTTTTTAAGAGCATAGATAATTTTAAATCTCTATAAAACAGTATTATTTAACCCAATCGATTCCTGTATATAGTGCATTCGGCTTCTTCCCAACATCATTAAATTAACTCGGATATTATTTGCATGCTATTACATACAAACTTTTAAGACTCGTGTAATTTTTTTTTTTCTATTTTCTAAAGGATTTGGGGGTTTTTTTTGTCTTTTTTTTTTTTAAGTTTGTTTTTTTTTTCTCGTACATCACCAAGCAAACTATCGGCTCAAAAAAAAAAAAAAAAAAAAAAAGGCAAAAAACTAACTAATATTCTACATATTTACAAGGGTGAATAAGTTAAACGTGGCTCAGTTTCGCCGGCCGGGAATTAGGGAGGGAAAGGGGGGGGCGCGGAGGGGCCGGACAGGGCGCAGCGCTGCCGGGGACCCCCCCCGGCCCGATCCGTGGGGACCCCTGGAAGAATAAAAATCAAATTGAGGGTAAAACACGCAGGAAAAGGTGTGTGGGACTGGGGGGGGGGGGCGCTTATGCTCCCGGGAAAAAGGGGGGGGGGGGGTGGCCGTACACGTCCCGCATGCAAGGCTGGCTCCAGGTCCGCCCCCCACTCACCCACCCCGGGACCCCCCACCCCGAGTCCCCACGGGTGAGTGGGTGCGTGGGGGGGGGCGAGTTCGACTTCCCCTCCCCAAAATTTCCCCGGGAGGGGGGGGGACGTCCTCATATTATTATTATTATTATCATCATTATTAATAATAATTTTGTTTAAAAGACAAGCGGCGGGTTTTTTTTTTGCTCTCCCCGCATGAGGAACAACAGCGACGACAAACCAACAACGACAACAAAAAAAAAAAAAGGGGGGGGGGAGGGGGAGCGATCCCACCCCCCATCCCACCACATCCCACCAGCCCACCGGGCTCACATGAAGAAGTCAGCGGCGGCTTTGGGGGGGGCGGCGGAGGATGGGGACGGTTCCCTCGGGAAGCCCCGGCCGGCCAACTTCTCGTATTTCTCTTTGTACAGATCCCTCTCCTTGGCCAGGCGGGTCACCTCCTGCTTGAGCTGCTCCACCTGGCTCTGCAGTTGGCATTTCTCGTTCTCCAGGATGTGCCGCTGCTGGACCCGCTTGTAGCGGCAGGACTGAGCGTAGCCGCGGTTCTTCAAGGTCCTCCTCTTCTGCTTGAGGCGGATCACCTCCTCCTTGCTGAAGCCCCGCAGCTGCCGGTTGAGCTCCCGCACCGACATACTCACCAGCTGGTCGTCGGAGAAGCGATCCTCCAGGCGGAGGTGGTGGTGGTGGTGGTGGTGGTGGCCGGGGTGGTGGTGGGCGGCCGGCGGCATCTCCTCGCCCGCGAAGGGCTGAGGCCGGAAGGGCTCGTAGCCCTGGTGGTGATGGTGGTGGTGGTGCGGGGCGCCGATCAGCGCCTCCACCGCGTCCTCCGGCGTCAGGTTGAGCGCTTCGGGGTTCAGGTGGTGCTGGTAACCCGACATCCAGTACAGCTCCTCCAGCTGCTGTTTGGAGCCCAGCGAAGCGGCGGCGGCGGCGGCCGGGGGGCCGGGGGCCGGTTGCCCGCCGGGGCTGGGGGCGCAGAAGCTGGGCGAGGAAGGCACGGAGGAGCAGGGCGTGCTGAGCGGGGTGGACGACAGGGAGCCGGCGGGCAGGCGGTGGCACAGCCGCTCCGCCTCCGCCGGCTCCTTCTTCACCTCGAACTTCATCAGGTCGAAGTCGTTCACGTACTCGATGGCCAGGGGGCTCGTGGGCAGCTCCGCGCTCATGGCCAGCTCCGAGGCCATCTCAGTCCATGGAGGGCACCGGGGGGGGAGCCCCCGGGCACCGCCGCTCGCCGACGGGGCTCCGGGAGCCTCCTCCGAGGGCGCTCCGGGGCTGCCCCGCTCCCGGGGGGCTGCGGGACTTTCCGCCGGGGCTTTGCTGCGGGTTCAGCGGGGCTGCGGGACCCTCCGCTGGGGCTTTGCTGCGGGTTCAGCGGGGCTCCGGGATGCTCGGACGCGGATCTGCTGCCGGGCTCCGGGACCCTCCGCCGCGGCTCCGCTTGGGGGCTCAGCCGGGCTCCGGGACCTTCTGACGGCGCTTCCCGGTGGGGCTCAGCGGGATTCGGGACCCTCCGCCGGGGCTTTCTGGTGGGATTCAGCCGGGCTCTGCTGCGGGATTCAGCCGGGCTCTGCGACCCTGCGACGGGGCTCCGCTGCCGCGCTCCGGGACCCTCCGACAGGGCTGTGCTGCGGGTTAAGCCGGGCTTGGGGACCCTCCGACAGGGCTGTGCCGCGGGACCTTCCGACAGGGCTATGCTGCGGGTTCAGCCGGGCTCGGGGACTCTCCGACAGGGCTGCGCCGCGGGTTAAGCCGGGCTCGGGGATCTTCTGCCGGGCTCAGCCAGGCTCCGGTGCTCGCCTCCGACGGGATTTCGCGCTGAGCTTCAGCGGGGCTAAGCCTGGCTTCGGGACCCTCCGCTGGGGCTCCCGGGCAGCCCCTTCCGTCCGTCGGGGCTCGGCGCCGGACTCCGGGAGCCTCCTCCGGCCGCCGCTCGGCGCTGCCTGCGGCCGCTTCCCAATGGCGAGGAGCGGGCAGCGCCCTGCCCGCCCCTTCCTGCCTCCCCCTGGCACCTGCCCCGGCCCCACCTCCCCGGGCTGCGAGCCTGAGCCTTCTCCTGCCTCCTCCTCCTCGTCCCGCCGGGACCCGGCGCGCTGCGGGGCGGGGGCCGCTCCCTGCCCGCCCCTGCCCGCGACCGGCGCCGCCGCCGCCGGGCGCTCAATGGAACCCGCCGCCTTTTATACGGGAAAAGGAGGAGGTGCGGACACTCCTACAGGGGAGGGGATAATCCATCCCGCCTTATCAGCACGCCGGGATTTGCATATCCCCATGGCAACGCCCCCGGGGCAGCTGTCAGTCCAAGGGGGTTTTTGGGGGCGCATCCCCTGGACCCCCCCAGGGCTCCCCCCGTGCACCGTCACCCTCCCAGCGACAGCTCGGAGAGGGGAAAAAGAGCAAAGAAATCGTGTTTTTCTCCCCTCCCTGAAAATTGGAAAGACCCAAAAAGGCGGGTTATGGAGCCCGAATTGGGTTTGATTCCACCCCGCTGGACGCGGCCCCTTCCCCACCTCGGGAGCGGCGCAACGTCCTTCCCCTACACCGAATAGAGGTATTTCTGGGATTTTTAGGGATGTTCCCAGAAGGTGGTGGTGGGCAGGGAGCGACCACGAGCACCAGAGCCGGCTCCCCGTGCTCGGGCTCCGGCTTTGTGTCACCGCAGGTGACACCCGCACGTGGCGCGTGGCCGGGAGTGTCACCAGCTCAAGGAGCGGGATCATCATCCCAGCACCTGGAAAAGGTGTCACTGGCGCCGAGGGGAAGCTGGTCGGGAGGTTCTGGGGGGTCTGGATGAGTCTCTGGAGGGGATGTGGCCTCGCTGTTCTTCCTGTCACCACGTGGCCGCCGCAGGACAGGAGAGATTTGCGGGGAAACTGAGGCACGGGAGTTGTCCCACCCGATCCCAAGCGATGAGCGGCTTCATCCCACAGAGGCATCGACACCCACTCACTCACTCCCCTCGGGGTCCAGGATCGAATCCCGGATGCCACTATATCCCAGACCAGCTGCATCCCACCCTGCTGCATTCCACAGGCAGCCCCTTGGGATGGGAGAGGTGAAGGTCCCCGGCCATCCCTGCTTGGGGACTTGGGGACAAGGGACACTGCCCTCCACTGACCCTTCAAAAGGAGGGATTATTTGGGCCAAATTAATGCAAAAAAGGAGGGCTTTTTTTCAGATGAAACCCCTTATCCCGCTGCATCCCAGCAATTAAAATCCCACGTCATTCCGGCCCCTGGAGGGTCCATCTTTCTCCTCCTAATTTTGTTGGGGTGAGTGGAGGGGATTTGTCCCCCCTGGGAAGGGTCACAGTCCCAGGCAAAGCCCCAGACAAGATCCTGGTGGTGCTGGATGTTATCCCATATTGGATAACCAGGCACACAGATATCCCACATTGGAAACCCCAAACGTGGGCATGGGATAATGCCCCTCCCCCCTTCAACTCAAAAGAAGGGACAAAATAAGGGACAAAAAGGGCATCTTGATGATTTTGCAACAAAAAAAATCCCCTTTTCACTCAGTGATTTTAACCCTTTTTGCTTCATCGTGCCACCCTAAATCCATCCTCAGTCACGTCCTCAGTCAGGATTTCGGGATCCTGCCCTGGGAAAAGACGGGGTGCCACCTCCCTACCCCTGGCACCGCGTTCCTGCCCGGAGCTACTCCCATCTTGGCCCCCCCCAGCAGCTGCCACCCGCCACGGGCCGGGAGCCACGGAGGGATTAGGAACGGGATGGGATCCAACGGGGCCGTCGCTGCTCCGTGGGTATTTTTAGGAAGTGCCCGTGGCATGTCCCCAACCCTCCTGGACACGGCCAGAGCCGTCAGCTAAGTTTACTCACAGAGGGTCAAGTGACATAACCAGGTTGGTGGCCTCGGGGATGGCCTTGGGATCACGTCACCCTCCGCTTATGGAGCTCGTGCGCCCCGTTAACCCTTCCAGTGGGGCCTGCCTTGGCTTCCCGGGATATTCCAACAGTATCCTGACCGGGGGGCTGGTGGCTTGGGGACCCCTCACTGGGATATCATCCCACGGAGAGGGCGGTGTCCCATCAGGATGAACCCCATGAGCCGGTGGGATCGTCTTGATGCTCCACCAGCATCTGCGGCTGGACACGGAGAAGGGTCAGGAATTTTGGGAAAGGAGGGAATCACACAGTGAGGATGGGAAGCGGAGGAGGGCAGGGAACCCCTCACTCCATGGAGAGGGTGGTGTCCATCAGGATGAACCCCATGAGCCGGTGGGATCGTCTTGATGCTCCACCAGCATCTGTGGTTGGACATGGAGAAGGGTCAGGAATTTTGGGAAAGAAGGGAATCACATAGTGAGGGTGGGAGGAGGAGGAAGAGGACAAGGAGGAGGAGGAGGACAGGGAACCCCTCACCCCACAGAGAGAGTGGTGTCCATCAGGATGAACCCCATGAGCTGGTGGGATCGTCTTGATGCTCCACCAGCATCTGCAGCTGGACATGGAGAAGGGTCAGGAATTTTGGGAAAGGAGGGAATCACATAGTGAGGATGGGAGGAGGAGGAGGAGAAGGAAGGCAGGGAACCCCTCACCCCATGGAGAGGGCAGTGTCCCATCAGGATGAACCCCATGAGCTGGTGGGACCGTCCTGGTGATGCTCCACCAGCATCTGCGGCTGGATGTGGAGAAGGGTCAGGAATTTTGGGAAAGGAGGGAATCACACAGTGAGGGTGGGAGGAGGAGGAGAAAGAGGACAAGGAGAAGGAGGAGGAGGAGGGCAGGGAACAACCCCCCTGATGCCAGGCAGGAACCCGATCCGGCGGGTGCCCACCCGGCACCTGCTTCCCCGGCAGGGGCCCAAGAGCGGTGCCAGCAGCGCCCGCCGCAGGAGGGTTTTCCAGGAAATGTTTATGGAGCCTTCTAGAAACTCCATCCACGGCACCCCCAGGGAACGTCCCTGCCGGGTGCCCGCTGTTCCCATCTTCCCAAGGAAGGACGGATAAACCCCCCCGGGAGCTCGTGCCAGAGGCGTTGCGGCCGTCGGAGACTCAGGAGAAGCCACCGGGGCTCGGAGACTCCTCTCCGGGGGCCGAGCTGATCCCGAGCTTGGGAATTAATCACCCCCCAAGCGGAGCCTTAACGACAGCCAGCAGCAAATTCCAAGCCTTCTCGGGATGGGAGCGGGGGCTCCGAGCGGAGAAGCCGCTCGTTGCCTCGTTTAATTGGCGCGCCAAGAGGCTTAATCCTCGTTAGGGAATCCATGGATATGGGAAACCCCCAAGCTCCACACCGGGCCATCCCGGAGGATTCCCAGCTCCTTCTCCTCAGAGGGTGGTTTTTAAGGGAATTTGGCTGTTTGTTTTTTTTTTTAGGTGAAGAAATGTGGAAAAGTCGGAATAATAATAATAAAAAATTAAATAATAAATAATAAAAAAGAAAATAAATATATAATTATTAAAAAAATTAAAATAACAAAAATAATAAAATAAATCTATAATAAAATAAATAATAAAAATAATAAAAATAAAAATAAAAAATAAATATATAATAATAAAATAAATAAAAAAATAATAAAAGGTAAATAATAATTTTTTTAAAAAAATCAAAGATTCAAGGGTTGGAGCAGCTCCTCCCTTGGATCAGACTGGATTTTTGATGGGATGTTCCTGCTGGAAAGAGAGAGGAAAGCCACACTCCTGTCCCCAGGGGGAGGAAAGTCTTTTATTTACAAACCAAACCACAGGAATTAAAATAAAAGACATTTCACGGCGACAGAGAGACGACGGAGCTTTTGTTACAAAACAGCTCTTGGGATACAAGGGGCATCCCAGGGTGGGATCCATCCATCCCTGGGGGGAAACGCTCTGGATTTGGGATGGTGACAACCCCCCCTTCCCACCGTGGGGGTCTCTCTGGGAAGGGAAACCCCCCGGAGGGGTGTTTGGATGCCGTCGGCATCTTCCCGGAGCCACGGAGCACCTGAGCCCATCCCATTCCCGGGAAACGTCCTCAGGGAGCCCCAGCGCTTCCCCACATCCCTGCTGAGCCTTTTTTTTTCCCACAGGATTTCACCTGAGGGGCGTTTGGATGGGCAAATCCCACCATCCCCCCCTGTGGCTCGGAGGTGTCCCCCCCAAATCCCATCTGCGGGGGGGTTCCCCAAAATCCCTGGGAAGTGGTACCTATGGATGCAAAACCCCCGTGGTGCTGGTGACTTAACGCCCTCTCCGTGCTTTGCTCCGGCAAAAAAAAAACCTCTGGAAGAGTCGGTTTGGGTGTCCCACTGGGATGAGGAGAGGTGGGAATTAGGAGCTACCAGATCCCAAAACGCTGCGGGATGAGAGCTCGGCACCACTCCCAACACACATTCCCATTAGGAATGCTCTCGGAACATGGCCCTGCTCCAAGAAATCCCCTCCCAAAAGCAAGAGAATGGAGTGGGATGGAGGGATCAGAGCTGTGGGGGCTTTACATCCCGTTACATCCCAGCCTGTGGCTGCCCTGGATTTGGGAATGTCACCTCAGGTCCCTGGATCACCTCATGTCCGGGACAGCACCCACGGGAATAGGAAGCTCTTCCCAACCCCACAAACATCCAAGGAGCTTCAATTTGGCAGGACTTGCCTCCGACAAACCAACGGAGAAAGGTCGTTTATTGGTCAACGCAAAGATTCCAAACGAAGCCGCTTCCTGCGGGAATTCCTGGCGGGAATGAGAGGCATATTCCCACGCTGCTCCTTGTCCGAATGGTGTCCCAGAAAAGTGAGAGGAGAAGGGGGTGGTGCCATGTCTGGACACGGCGTCCTGAGGTAGGTGCCAGGTCGTGCCCGGCTCTCCGGTTCCTGAGCAGGTCGGCTGATCCCGGGATCGGGAAATCGGGAATTCCTCACAGCCGGGGCTTGATCTGCAGTCGTTTGCCTGGAAGGAGAGCAGGGAAAGGGGATGGTGGGAAGTGAGGGACACACCTGGACACTCCCAGGCTTCTCCTTGCCTGGTCATGAAGGGTTAAAGCACGGGAAAAACTGGGAATGTGGGTGGTTTTCCACCCTGGTAGCGCCCGCTGGCCTCACCTCTGGCACCTTCCACACGGGTGTCCTCCGAGTCCTCCGAGCATTCCCGTGGCAAAATCCTCTTCCTTTTGGTGGTGCCTGGGAGGGGAAAGGGAGAAAAGAGGAGAAAGTCCTGGAGGTTGGCTCAGGTCAACTTGGAAATCCCTTGGAATGAAGGAGTGGGAGCGTCCTGAGCTCCTCTTCTGCTCCACATCCCCCTTGGCCACATCCAGGATGGCTCATTCCCCAAATCCCTGAGCATCCTCAGGACACTTGGAGGTCCCTTCCCATCAATCTGCTGCAAAAATTCCCAAGTTATGGGCGAAAAAGAGAATTAAAAAGGATCCAAACCTTCCCCCTGGAGCACAAGGTGAACACCAGGATCTGCTTTGGGGCTGAGATGGAGCTGGAAGGAGCAGAGCACTGGGAAGCTCCATCCCCCAGGAATTCCCAGCACTCCCCTGGGATGCTCCAGGTGATGGCTTCTGCTTCCTCCAAAGAGGGGCCTGGATGCTCATGGAAAGCCCTTGGGAAGTGACCTCCTTGGAGGACAAGCCCAGGAACATCCCATGGATCGAGGTGGGAAGTCCTTCCCCCGTTTCAACCCAACCTTTGTGCAGGTTCTCCCGTTTTCCCTTCTCCAAAGGGTTTGGAAAGGTGGTTCTGTGGGGGAAGTGAAGGGTGGGAAGGAGAGCGGTGGCCCCCCGGGATGGATGGAAAGATTGGAAAAACAGGTTTCCCAGAAAAAAAACGGGCCCGCAGCTTGTTGGAGGTTAAGTGGGAAAATTCCCCCCCCACACCTGGGATTGGAGGAGGTGGGAAAGGTCATGGAGAAGACAGAGGGAATCCAGCCCAAACCCCCTCCAGGTGTTCTGGGGGAGCAGCACACACAGTTTGGGATTGTTCCCACAAAATTCCACAGCCCGATTCCCAACGTTGGAGGTGGGACCACGGGGACCTCAGAGAAGCCCAGAAAGGAAGGATTTGGGGGGGCAGGGGAGGCAGGAGTGGGGGAAGGACCCCAAGCAACACTCAACAAAGGGAATCTCCAAGAGTTTTCCTTGGCTTTTCAACCTGGATGAACAAACCGGCTCCGAGCGGGAGCGGCGCCGGCAGTGACACATCGCTCCGGAGCTAATTTATGGAAAACAAGGAGGGCTCATTGAGCGCCTTCCCACCCTTCACACAACATCCATACATCAGGGGCGGCCGCGGCGCATCCGGGGATTAGTCACCGGCGATGGAGCGGAATCCGGATCCCGGGAATGGCGACACCCTCCTCCTTTTCCAGCTGACCCCAAGCAGGTGGGTTTTTTTCCAGACTGGGATTTCCAAATCCCACCCTGGTCGCTGGAATTAAGGTCCAGCAGAGCTGCTGGTCGTCACCCCGAGGGGTCAAAATCAGGGTGTCCGGGTTCCTGCTCCACCGGCAACCTGGTTCAGTGGGAATGGCAAGAAGGGCTCAATTCCCTTTGGATGAGCTGGGAAAAAACTTCATTAATTAATATTTCCCATTCTGATTGCTGGAATTAGGGTCCAGAGCTACTAGTTGTCACCTCAAGAGGTCAAAACCAGCATCTCCATGTTCCTGCCCCACCAGCAACCATGGCCCAGGTTCAGTGGGAACGGTGGGAATGGCTCATCCAATTCCCTTTGGATGAGCCAGACAAAACTTCCTTAGTGAAGATCTTCATTAATTAATAACTTCATTAACTAATATCTCCCACCCTGATTGCTGGAATTAAAGTCCAGAGCTGCTGGACCTCAAGGGGTCAAAACCAGCATCTCCATGTTGTCCCACCAGCAACCCCAACATCAGTTCAATGGGAATGGTGGGAAGGGCTCAATTCCCTTTGGATGAGCTGGAAAAAACTTCTTTAATTAATATTTCCCATCCTGATTGCTGGAATTAGGGTCCAGAGCTGCTGGTTGTCACCCCGAGGGGTCACAATCAGCACCTCCATATTCCTGCGGTGTCGGTTCAATGGGAATGGTGGGAAGGGCTCAATTTCCTTTGGATGAGCCAGAGAAAACTTCCTCAGTGAGTTTCTCCCACCCTGCTTGCTGGAATTAGGGTTCAGAGCTGCTGGCTGTCATCTCAAAGGATGTCCATATTCCTCCCCCACCAGCAACCATGCCATGGGTTCAATGGGAATGGTGGGAATGGCTCAATTCCCTTTGGATGAGCCAGACAAACCTTCCTTAGTGAAGATCTTCATTAATTAATAACTTCATTAACTAATATCTCCCACCCTGATTGCTGGAATTAAAGTCCAGAGCTGCTGGACCTCAAGGGGTCAAAACCAGCATCTCCATGTTGTCCCACCAGCAACCCCAACATCAGTTCAATGGGAATGGTGGGAAGGGCTCAATTCCCTTTGGATGAGCTGGAAAAAACTTCTTTAATTAATATTTCCCATCCTGATTGCTGGAATTAGAGTCCAGAGCTGCTGGTGGTCATCTCAAGGGGCCAAAATCAGGATGTCCATGTTCCTGCCCCACCAGCAACTGTGGTCCTGGTTCAGCAGGAACGGCGGGAAGGGCTCAATTCCCTTTGGATGAGCCGGAGAAACTTCCTTATCTGATCTCCACAAAGCCCCTCAAATCAAACATGTTTAGAGAAGTAGAAATATGGATTCCTGGGGGTTTTTTTTGGGACTTTTAAATTGACCATAATTAACTTCCCGACTCCAGCACGGAGCCCGGACGCTGTCGGAGCATCCGCGCTCCATCCCAAACACATCCCTCAAAACACCGAGGCGGGAATAAGGGAACAAACCCAAAACAGATCGTGTGAAAGGACTAAAGTGGTTGTGGGATAGAGGGAGACACTACTCCTGGAAAAGCCGGAGCAGCGGGATGGGCGAAAACCACATCCAAGGGGCGGGAAACCCGGAGCAAATGGTGAGTGAGGGGGAGTCGCTTTTCCAACCCCGGCGAAGGAAAAGACATTTTCCGCTTTTGTGCTTGGGAGATCCTGCAAATGGTGTGATCAATCTTGGGCCTCTCTCTCCCCCTTCTCCCGCTTTTCCCTGCCTTTGGGAAGAGGCTCCATCCATCTCCTGGGAACCAGGTGCATCATTTATATCAAGTAGCAAAAGAGAAACCCCCTTTTTTATTATTTTTTTTTTTGTTATCCCATTACCACGATTGAACCACTTCCAAAGGAAGAGGAACCGCGGCCGGAGCGCGAGTTTTCCGTCGGAAACCCAGACGGCTTTTTGGCCAGAGAATTTCGGACTTCCAGCACTTTTTTTTTTCCACCCTCCTCCCCTTTTCCCTGATGGAAATCAACATTTATTTTGCCTGAGCCTAAGGAGGTGTCAAGCAGACGGAGGGGACTTGCCACTCTTCTCCGGGAGAAAGGGGGGAAAAGGAAGGAAATCTAATCGGAATGTATTATCCAGTCTGAGGGGCGGACGGGGCAGTAAATCACACTTCAGGTGGCCCCATTAGATTTTTCAATCAAAACCTGCTTTTCGGAGCCGAGAGGCTCCAGCTGCATCCCACAGGGAAGGGAAAACCCAATTTGTTTCCTCCAGCTGCCGTACAAGAGGGATTTAAAGGGATCTCAAGGCAGGGAATCTCCTTCAGGTGAAGGGGAAAAGGAGGTGGGGCCGTGCCGGGCCCCAAATCCTCTCCCTGCTCAATTCCTGTGGGTTTCTCCACGGGGTGGGAAAGTGGGAAGCAGCTGGAGATGCCCCAAAGCCCCAAAGGAACAGGATGTGGCTTTTCCAAGCTCCACCATCCCGTTATAAAAAGCTTTGGAATTTTTGTGGGTTTCCCTTCCCAATGGGATGTTCGGGCTCCGTCGCTCTCCCGATGCCACCAAGGGGTTTCATCCCCTCTCCTGCACCTTCCTCCAGGAATGTATCCTCCACCTTCCCCAGGGTTGCATCCCAGGTTCCCCTGGCTCCAGGTTTAATGCCATGAGGGGAAATTCCCCCCAAAAACACTTTCCCCCCCCCCTCATTCCCAAAGGGAAAATATCCCTTAACCCCCTCCCTTCCAGGCCACTTTGGGGAGCCCAAAAATTGAGGGGCCTTGGAAAGGGCTGCGCTCCAGGATTTTCCAGCTTTTCATATGGAAAAAGCAGCTGGGGGGGGGTTGGATCTCCTTGGTTCCATCCCGAACCAAATCCATGTGGAGACGATCCTGCTCCTGCTCCACCCAGACGTTCTGTCCCTCAGGGGAAGGGAACACCAAGATTGGGATGCTGGGAACACCAAGGTTGGTGTTCCCAACCTTGAGCCATGAGGAGCTTTATCCAGAAGGAAAAATGCTCCCATGGATGCTCAGAAGTGGGGATGTGATGGAGAAGACATCCCACCATTCCCGGCAGTGCCAATCTCCTGCCAGGCTTCCATCCATGCTGGGACACCCTTTCCGTGTCTCTTCTCCTTAATTCCATCTTTTAGGAGGGGAAAAAGCACCTGGACAACCAGCTGTGAGCTCCAGGGATCGTGGATTGACATCCTTTCCCGGTGAGCTGCAGCTTATCCTGGAGAAGATGGAATTCCACCACCTTGGAGGGCCCTTCCAGCTTTTAGGTCATCAAAGAACTCCGGGTGGGATCACAGGGATGCCAAGAGGCAAAAATCCCGGAGCCAAGCCTAAAATGCCAGGTCTCCAAACCCTCTGCCACAGGTGGGTGAGACCTTAAAACTGAGCTTAAACGCCCCAACAAACCAGGCCTAGTGGAAGGTGCCTCTTAAGGGCCCTTCCAACCCAAACCATTCCAGGATTCCAGGAAAAACGTGTTCACCCCCTTGGGGTTGGGGTGAAAGGAAGAGAAAACCCCCACTTCCAAAGTGATTCCTCCAGAAGCCAAACCCATGAGAAGCTGGACTTGGATGAACCTCCTGCATCCCTAACTCAGGCTATTCCTGACTCCAGGAGCTGGGGATGGTCGGACCAAGACCCACCAAAAAGGGGGCAGGGGGTCAGCAGAAAGGAGGAGCAAATCTGCATTTCCAGAAGCCAAAGCCATAAGGAGTTGGACTTGGATGAACCTTGTGGGTTCCCAACTCAGGATATTCCACGACTTCAGGAGCTGGGGATGGTTGGATCATGACCCACCACCAACGAGTTGCCCCCAGTGGGGTTGGAAAAAAGGAGGAGAAAACCCACATTTCCAAAGTGATTCCTCCAGAAGCCAAACCCAGGAGAAGCTGGACTTGGATGAACCTCCTGCATCCATAACTCAGGCTATTCCTGACTCCAGGAGCTGGGGATGGTTGGACCAAGATCCACCACAAATGGGGGGGTGTCCACGACAAAGAAGGAGCAAACCCACACTTCCAAAGCGATTCCCCCGGAAGCCGAAGCTGTAAACAAACCTGGGAGCGGCCTCCTCACCTCCCCTGAATTCCCGGGAAGCCGGAGCTCGGCGGGGCCGTTAAAAAAAGACTTGGAGCAGCATCTTCCATTAACGTTACGACCGTGAAATACGACAATCAAACGGCGGCCGTCTGGCGGCAAATTTGCCCCCGCCCGAGCTGCTCGGGGTTTTATCGCCGCTCCGACGCGCGGAGAAGCTGTAAAATGTTTACAGAAAGGGTCGTTTGAAGCCATAAAATCCTCTTTTCTCTCCTAAACAAGGCTGAGCGGAGCCATTTACGCGGCCCGGAATGTTCGTCGGGGGAGAGGCGGAACATCTGTTCTCGCCGGGAGTTTCGCGGCGATCTCTTCTCGAACAAATTAACTAAAATGGGGGCTTCCTAATTAAATTAACGCTGGGTTTGGAATGGGTTGAGTCGGGATGAGGGGGCCGGTGAGGCTCCGGCACAGGGGATTTAACTGGGAGGTGAAATATGGAAAAGGCCGTTACCTGGGAACGGCCGTGGGAGGGGAAGGGGAGACGGTTTTCCCGCCCGTTATCCCAGCTGGATGACATGGAGTTGTTCCCAGTCTGGAAGGGGTTTGCCCTCCCCATTCCGCAGGGGGTGCCTGGAAAGCTCCAGCGCCCTCAAATCCCAGAATCATTTCGGCTGGAAAAGACCCCCCAAGACCATCGAGTCCAACCTTTGCCCGGTCACCTCATCCACAAATTACTCCTCCCACCCCAAATTCCCAGGCTTCTCTTGCAGGGTGGGAGGACGATGGCGGGTTCCGCTCCGTGCATTCCCATCCCTATTTTCCATCCCCTTTCCCTGTATCCCAAGCCCAGGCCCCCACTGAGATCCCCCCCAAGCTGATGCTGCTGCCCACGTCGGTCCTTAAAGGTCACTTCCAAGCCCCCTCCCTGTTCCTGCCGCGCACGGAGCCAGCGTTTTATCCTGTTCCAAGATTAAAAGGGCACTTTCCTCGAATTCTGAAGGTTTAACCAGGGAATTCAGCTCATTCCATAATAACAACCTGTCCCCCTCCTTATTTATGATCCCGACAACTTGTGTGTCGACTCCAGGCTCCACAAGCACAAACCCACCGTTATCACCCCCAAAATCCTGACGCCGGTTACGCGAGGACTCATCCTGACCGTTGACACAGCTCAGAACCCCGGAATCCCAGGATATTCTGAGCTGGGAGGGATCCACCAGGATCACCAAGCCCAGGTGAAGTGGCCACCAGTCCTTCAGCAGCACCAACGGCCTCATCCCGCCTCCTTTTGGGATTCCTCTTCTCCCGTCGGGTTTTGGGAATCCCTGGATTCTCCCGTGCCCACAAACCCCTTGGATGAGGGTTAGGATGAGACCTAAGTATGGGCAAGCCCATGGGACAACATTCCCGTGTCCAGACTCGCCGCATTCCTTTGGCGGGGAAGTTGCTTCCTCGTCAGATGATTTTACAGCCATCCGTGATTCCTGCCTGGTTTTCCTTCCCTATGGATCCTCCAGCATCTGTTTTCCTGATGCCACGTGATCCCCCTGGCAAAGGAGCACGGAGGGAATGCGTGCCCTGACCTCACCTCCGCGGAGTTCCTCTAAACATTCCCAAATGAACCGGCTCCTCCTCCCCACACCCAAAAAGCCTGGAAATCATCCTTCCCTGCACGGACACGCTGGATAAAGAGGAAAAGGACACCCTCACTGCCAAGTTCTTCCAGGCTGCCAAGTGTAATCCAGGGCCTTCCCCGGCCAATCTAACTTTCAACAGCCTTCTTATCCATGGATTAATTGCTCCAACTTCATCCTGGAGATAAAAACCCCGCTCTGGGAACAATTCCCTGGCCCCGCCGCTGGGATCAAAAGGGAGTTGAACCAGGGCCAAGGAGAGGGAAGGAGCAGGGGAGAAATCCCTGGAAAGGGAAGGCGAGAGGAGCTTTCCAGCCAGAATTATCCCTCTCTGTTCCCACCACGCTGCAGTCCAAAGTGCACTCCTGTGACTTCGGGAATATGTTGTTAATCCCGGGAATTCTCTTTCCGACAGCGTTCAGGCATCTCAGCCCTCCCTGGCTCGAAGTGATTGAAGATTCTTGGTGCCCGCTCCAGCCTGGATTTGGTGCTGGATTCATCCCTTCTCCCAACGGGATCCCGCTCCAGCTACACAGGAAGCAGGGACTGAGGATGGGAAGGGCTCCTACTGAGCCACATCCTGTGCTAGCTGAGCTGGGGGTGGGAATTCCATCATTCCTGCCACAAAATCCTGTGATTTGCGAGCCTGTTGTGAGATCCAGAGGCTGCACATCCCTCTGGAGAAGGATGGAAGAGGAAAAGGAAAGTGAGGAGCAACATCCCACTAAAAACCTCCCGACCAGCGCTGGGAAGGAGCAGGCACATTCCCTGCCTTGCCATCTCCATCACCTCTGCTCCTAGAGAAACAGTCCTGGAGCAGCCCAAAGTCCCATTCCCTACTGGATTTTCCAGAATTAGGAACCAAGGAAAACGTTGGAGAAGCAGAAATGCAGCAAAACTCCGCCGGGAGCCTCTTTGGAAAGAAACAAAGACGTTTCTCCTCACGGCTCCAACAGTTTTCCCACTTTTTCCCCTCTCAGTTTCAAACTGAAACGTTTCCCTGAACTTTTCCCGAGATAAAAAGGCACGTGTCAGAATTCCCAAGGAGTTCTGCTCATCCTAAAACCACATTTTCCCAGAATTTCTACCCATTTCCGAAGTGGATAATCCCAGATTAAAGCAGCTCTTCCCTCCAACTCGCAGCCTGCCAACAACCCATCCCATTTCCCACTGGGATGTTTGGATTTCCAAGCTTCCAAGCTATTTCCCGCCAGGAAACACGTGGGATGGATGGTCCAAAGGTCCTTCTGTTGGTCCAGTGGTGCTTCCCAAAGGAAGGAGCTGACGATAAAACATGGGATAAAATCCTCCCACATGGTTTCGGGAGCAAACACAAGGATTTGTGCCCAGATGGGAGACCCAGTTTGGACTTCCAGTGTGAACTGGGAGTTTGGAGACTCCCAAGGAACATCAATCCCATCAAAACTCACGGAGAGCAGCAGGGAATAACCCTCCTGCTCGGAAAACGGGAGCAGTTCGGAGCACACGGGAGGAAAAACAGAGGATGTGATTCCTACCTGGCTTCTCCTCCGGCTCATCCTCATCCTTCTCCACTTTGCACCCCCGGAATCTGGGATATTCCGGGGATCGGAGGGAGATGAAGGATGGAAGCTTCTGCAGGCAGCTCGTTGGCTTGGCGTCCTCCTCTTTCCCAAACTTCCCCTCCTGCTCCGCACTGGAAGGTCCGGGAATTTCCCCATCGTCGTGGAGCTGAGCTGGATCATTCCTGCAGGAGGCAGATGGGACAAATATTAAGGAAAAGCAAACCAATCCCACTTGGCAACTTTGGGAATGGCACCATGTGGCCCAGGGCTCCCGGGGCTCCATCCCAGGCCGCTCCGTATCCCTGGAGCCAACAGGGATTCAGCCACAGCTCCTCCCTCCCCAGCTGGATTCCCTGCCCTGCGCTTCCCTGCCAGTTTTCCAGCTCCTCAGATTCTCATGGAGGCTCCTGTTTGGGAGTGAGCAGAGGGAAGGGGAGCAGGGATGGCTCGGAGATGTCCCGCTGGGCTTGGCTCATTCCCAACCCCACCTCTCTCTTCCAGGCAAACCTGACACTCCAGCTTCTTTCCCATCTCCCACCACGGTGCCAATAAAGGGAAAAATAAACCCCTCTGGAGCAGCTTCCAAGCCAGGGCGTGCTCCCATCCCCGCAGGAGGATGCCAGGAGCCTCCCAGCCATCCAGCCCTGCGCTCATCCCTCCTTCCCTAAAAAGAGCAGGGAGCTATTTTACACCTCGTTCACACCGGGAACGTGAGCTGGGTGTCATTCCAAGGCTCTTCTGTCACCCGGGATAAGTTGGGAGAACCTGCTGAGTGCTCGTCCCCCCTCTGCTACCTTACAAGGCAGGGCCAGGACGAGGCCCAGGCCCGGGAAGGAGCCTGGACCAGGTTGGCACAGCTCCCAGATCCCTGTGTTTCCATCCCACCTTCGCTCCCACCTCCCGCTGGGAAAAGCCGCGGAGAAGCCGAGCGCCCGGCTCCGGGTTTTCTCCTCCCACTCGAAGCAGGACTCTGAGACTTCGGCTTTTAAAGCCAAATCCCCTCTTTGGCTTTAAACTGAATTCCATTGGGATGCAGGAACTGCTTGAATTCCATTAGGAATGTCCTGCAGGAAGGGCTGGGGGGTGAGGGAAAGGAAGGGGAGGATGTGCCGAGGCCAAGGAAATCCGTCTCCTTGTGAGGATGAGGATCAACGTGTCCATCATCTGCCTGGGGGTCCAGCCCAGCACCCAAAAACACCAGGAAGAGCTCAGAGAGCTTCCAAGGACCCAACCCAGCATCCAACTGTTTTCCAAAGCCTCTGGTACCTCTGTGTCCACCCAGCAGTGAATCCAACCCCTCTGTGCCAGGCCGAGGGCTCAACCCTGCTCTCCACATGGATATATAAGGAAGAGGGATGGTGGTTTCCAGTTTTCCCCCAGAGCTGTGGATAAGCTGGACCCAATTCCAGCAGTGGAATCCCCACCAGGGTTCCTCCATCTCCCAGGTCCACAAAAGCCTCGGAGATACCTGGAGCTTCCGGAGCCCTGGGTGGTGCATTCCCAAGGGCGAATCCTCTCTTCCCTCTCCATCAGCTCCCTCCATCACAGACACTGCCCAACCCTCCCTCCATCAGGAGGATAAATAAAATAAAAACCTTAAAATAAACCAGGACACAAGACCCAGAAGAAGAAAGACCCGGAGCGGGTCGGGAAGGAAACCGTTTAATCCGGCAAAAATGAGTTCATCCCGCTTTTTCCTACCTGTCCGGCTCCTCCTTGACCCATCTCCACTTGGAAGGGGGGTCAGTGTGGTCTCCGTCTCCTCCCGCCTCCTTGGGGTGCCGCCTCTTCTGGGGGTGCAGGAGTTTGCAGCGGCCACCCTTGGGACAGACGCCCTTCCGGGCAAAGTCAGGACAAACCAGCGTGTGCTTCTTCTTGCACTGCCGGGGAAGGAGAGAGCGGCGTCGGGAATAGCGGGAAAAACCCCCCGGGAACACGGGAAGGGCTCCCGTGGGTGCCACCGACACCTCGCTAAAGGGAGGGGGGGATGTGTTGGTGTTCCCTTCTCCGGATCCAAATCCTACTCCACGGCAAAACACTCCTATAAATAACGTTCTCCTCCGGGATGTTCCACGCCCACCCACGGTTTTCCAAGTGATTTAATGGATCCGAGTGATTTTATGGATGTGGTGAGTTTGCCACCAAAGCCTTGATGGCAATGATTTACCCCCAAGGTGGCCATGCTAGGAGGTCCCCAAAGAGGTTAACTGGGCTGGAGAAGCTGGTTTTGGAGAGGACACAGTTGTCCCAGACATTCTCAGGGCTTGGGAAGGAGCAGGGAAAAGCAGGAATAAAGTCCTTTTAGGACTTATTTTGGGATCGCTGCCCGGCCCTGAGGAAAGTGGTTGAAGGCTGGAGCTCAACCTGCTCTGCCCAGGGATTGGAAATGAGCTTGGTTGATGCTCTCCCATCCCAGGAAGCTTAGTGTGGCCATGGAATGGGGCTGGAAAAATGATGCCATCGAGATGTTCATCCCTAAAAGTGCTTCTGGCACTTCCAGACCCTCTGGTGGGAGGGAGGAGTCATCAGCATTCCAGAGCTTCCCCACAAGGCTTCCTGCCAGGAAAGGGCACTTTTTGGCAGTGGGAAAGGCAGGGAAGAGATGCAGGCAGGGAAGAGGAGATGCCTTCAGGTGGGATTTCCCTCGGGGTGACCGGGAATGTTGGCGGGGGGAAGGAGAAGGAACAACCTCTCTCTGATCTCCGACTATTCCCAAAATCCAGCAATCCAGAGAGCCCATCCTAGTGAATCCCAAGGGATGCAGGGTGGGAGCAGGTCTTGGAGCCCTGTTAGTCCCACTCCCAGCCAGGATGCTCCATCCCACCCAGCCTGGCTTTCACAGGAAGCACCACATCCATGGTGGGACTCAATCCATCCCATCCGGCCCAGCTGAGGATTCCCAACACCAACATTCCCTCGGGGACCTTCTCCACAAGAAAAGCGTGTTTTTCCAACCACGTGGCTCCTTCCAAACTCAGATGCCCACCCGGAAAACCTCCTCTCTCAAATTTTGCACGGATCTGGGGGAGGGAAAACGGGATGAATCCACCGGGAAAGGAAACACCAGGAGGGTTTCAGGGTCATTCTGAAGGGGGGAGCTCCTGCCCTTTTCATGGAACGTGACTCCGGGGACGCGGGAGCGGCTTCCCGTGCTGACCTTTGGGATGAACGGGATCCCTGCTGAGCTCTGGGAGAGCTCTCCATGAAAAGGCAGAAGGGTTTGGCAGCTCTGCCTCCCGGGGATCCGGCACCGGAGCGAGGAGCTCGTCTGCCGGAGGTTGGGATGGTGCTGAGCAGCAGGAGGGCTGGGATGCAGACGGACACACAGATATCGTGGCTCGGGGGGGGGAGGATGGTGCTGCTTTTCCACTAAAAATTCATATAAAACCCCCATTCCCGTGACTTTCCACCTCTGTCGGAAGCCAAGGGACAACTTGAAAGTCGAGCTGTGGCTCTGCCGTTACTCCAAAATCCCAGGTTTCAGAGAAACATGGAATCATGAAATGGATTGGGTGGGAAGGGAGTGGAAAGATCACCCAGTCCAACCCCCTGCCATGGGCAGAGACACCTCCCACCATCCCACGTTGCTCCACGTTGCTCCAACCTGGCCCCAGGGATGGGGCAGCCACAGCTTCTCTGGGAATTCCAGCCCAGCCCCTCAACACCCTCCCAGCCAAGAATTCCTTCCCAATATCCCACCTAACTCTCTGGCAGTGGGAAGCCATTCCCTGTGTGCTGTCCCTCCATCCCTTGTCCCAAGTCCCTCTCTAGCTCTCCTGGATCCCTTTAGGCCCTGGAAGGGGCTCTCAGGTCTCCCTGGATCCTTCCCTTCTCCAGGTGAACACCCCCAGTTCTCCCAGCCTGGCTCTCCAGATGCTCCTGCCTCCATTTTCCCCATTTTCCCACCTCACCCGCAGACAGGACACATCCTGGACCAAAGACAAATGCTTGGAAAAGGCAGTGACAGGACAGGAATTCAAATGGAGGAATTTCTCCCAAAATATTAATGAGGAGAAAAGCAAATCCCTCCACCTGAAAACTGCCTTAAAAAGAAGGGAAATGAAATTAGGGAAGAGGAAAAATAACGGCACGAGACTGTGGGGATGGGAAATCCCCTGGGGCCGGGTCCTGGTCCAACCATCCCAGTTCCTGGAATCACAGAATATCCTGAGTTGGAAAGGGCCCCCTCACCCCCCCAAGGATCATCAACTCCAAATCCTGTCTCTTCACAGGACAACCCCACAAATCCCTGAAAAGCGAGACCCACTTCTGGATAGAGGTTTTCCAGCCCTAAATGGGCTTGGAAAGGAGAAGAGCAGGGAAAAAAAGGAGCCTTGGCCTCCAAAACTCCCATGGATGCTACGCTGAGGGATGCTGCTGGTTTTGGGGAAAAGCCAAGGAACGTGGCTGGTTCTTCCCCGAGGGATGGGACAGCGCCGGGATCGGGATGTGCTCCGAGCTCCCGAGTCAATCCCATGTTTGTTGGCTCCATGGCAAAAAGATACTTAATAAAGCAAACAAACCGTGTGTGACTAATCCCGGGGCCGCGCTCCTGGCTCGGGTTCCTAATGGCTTTTCCACGCCTTTCCCAACCCTCCTTCCGGAACGCCCCGGCCACACCCCGCTGTTTGGGGGGCCGGGATGGCAGAGCTTGGGATCGCCTTTCCCGCTGGAAAAGCCCCTTCTGTTTATTTACAGCGGCCTCCCCCGCTCCTGGTCCCGTGTTCGTTCCCAAGCCCAGGCGCCGGGTTTGCCGCAGGGAATTTTCACTTCGCCGCCGGGATGAGGCCGAGCCGGGGCTGTGGGGTGGTGCTGGGAGCCATCTGATCCCTTCCACCTGTCGGGGTGGCTAATTATACCCCCCCAACCCACCCCCGGGACCCCCGCCAGCCCACAGGTTGGGCCATAAAAAGGGGGAGGAAAAAAATTCCGACGGGAAAAAAAACCCGCCGGGGGCGAAACTTCACCCCAACCTTCCAGTGGCGGGATGGAGGTGCCACGATCCCGCTGATGATCCCGCTGATGATCCCACTGTGGGGTTCCCCCCTCAGCCTGCCCAGGGTTGGGACGGTGCCCAGCTGGCAGTTCCCGTGTCCAGGACTCCTCCCCAGCTGCCAAGGAAGCTCCGGGTGAATTCCAAGGTGCCGTTGGCCTTAAATGGTCCAATGAATCCTGACGTGCCCCGGGAGAGCGGGATTGGGATGAGGGGCTTTGCAGGGCCCGGCCTTCTTTAGCACGGAGCTGGCAAAGGAGGAGGAGGAGGAGGAGGAGGAGGTGGCAGCTGGTGGAAAGGCCTCGGCAATGATGTTAACGAGGTTTTTCCATGGAAAAGCTCAGCGGGAGGAGGGGAAGGGCGGGAGGAAGGCCAGGCCAGGTCACTGGGCCAAGCACCCAACACCCGCTGACCTGACGATCCCAGCCAGCCCGGCATTCCCAAGCACTTTGCTCAGGGTGAACTTCTCAGGTGTCTCCAAACTTATCCCACACCCTGCTCCTTTCCCAGGAGAGGGACAAGAGATGGGCTTTGATGATTCTCAGGAGGTCCCTCCCAACTCGGAAGTGCAGGAGCGTCTTCCCATCTCCTTGGACCCTTGCACCTGTGTCCAACTCCCATTTGTGGTGGACACAAATCCCACCAGCCAGACTTTTTGGGGAGTTGGGAGCACTGAAACCACAAGTTATTCCTCAAAACTCAAGTGCCTCAACTCCAGCATTTCCTATTTTTTTAAACCCTTCTTGAGCATCCCACAGAGCTTCACTGGAGCTATTCCAGGTATCCCCCCAGTCAAGCAACAGGATTAACCACCTGGATGGTCTTCCCATCTCCTTGGACCTGTGGTGGACACAAATCCCACCAGCCAGACTTTCTGGGGAGATGGGAGCACTAAACCCATGAGTTATTCCCCAAAACTCAAGCGCCTCAACTCCAGCATTTCCTATTTTTTTAAACCCCTCTGGAGCATCCCACGGAGCTTCACCGGAGCTTTTCCAGCAGCAGGATTAACCACCTGGATGGCTGTCTTCTTGGACCTGTGTCCAAGTCCCTCCATCCACCGTGGTGGACACAAATCCCCCCAGCCAGACTTTTTGGGGAGATGGAAGCAACTTTATTCCCCAAAACTCAAGCGCCTCAACTCCAACATTTCTCAATTTTTTTAAACCCCTCTGGAGCACCCCACAGAGCTTCACTGGAGCTTTTCCAGCAGCAGGATTAACCACCTGGATGGCTGTCTTCCCATCTCCTTGGACCCTTGCACCTGTGTCCACATCCCTCCATCTACCGTGGTGGACACAAATCCCACCAGCCAAACTTTTTGGGGAGACGGGAGCACTAAACCCACGAGTTATTCCCCAAAACTCAAGCGCCTCAACTCCAGCATTTCCTATTTTTTTAAACCCCTCTGGAGCATCCCATGGAGCTTCACCGGAGCTTTTCCAGCAGCAGGATTAACCACCTGGATGGCTGTCAGGCTCTTTTAATGTCCCCCTGAGTGGTTGTTGGGAAGCGGCGGCTGGAGGTGCCGGAGCGTTTTCCGAAGTGACAGCCAGGAAATGGCTTTTCCTCCCCCCCCCATGGCTTTGCAATAATTGGGTGCAGATGGAAACAGCCTCAGGACAAAAAAATCCCAGCTCCCACCCTGTCATTAAAAACCTGGAGGACAACACATCCCCAGCACCATCCAGGCTGCGGAATAACCACGGAGGAATTTAACCCCCGCGGTTTTCCGGAGGGATTTGCTCCAAAAAAAAAAAAAAGGTTTCTGCCCTCTAAACGGGGTTTGGTGCCCTGGAAAAATGCCTGGTTTAGGATGGTCTCCTCCAAATCCTCGCTAGGATTTGGGATCTAAATGCTCTCCAGGATCTACCACCAAGCAGGAACTTCCTCCCTTGGAATTTGTGGGAAATAAAACATCGGAGCCGAAGTACCTCCGGAGCTGGAGCGAG